CTGCAGCCTACGCCGTCGCCGGCGATTCACGGCAGCCCGGCTCCAGGTTGAGCAGTTGTTCAGCATCTTAGCTGTAGAGGGTGCAGCGTCACTGGCCCTCACGTGGGATCTGAACTGGGGCCCTGCTGCTCAGAGCTGGCGTCCCAAGCCAACTCCTCACCAACACGCCACTTGGCCGGCCCATACCTTAACTTTTAAAAGAAGTTAAAAAATGAACCTCGACCCTTGCCTCATACCATACACAAAAATTATCTCAGTGATTCCTAGACCTAAACATTAAAACTAAGTTTTAAAACTTACAGAAGAAAACAGGTGAATATATTAGTGACAGGATACTAAAAGCACTTACTATAAAAGAAAAAATATTGATAATTCAGGTTAATCAAACATTAAAACCTTGTTAGTCAGACTCAGAATAGAATGCTGGTTGCCAGGGACTAGGGGAGGGAGAAATGGTGTGTTGTTCACAGATAATTAAGCTTCAGTTATGCTGAATAAGTTCTGGAAGCCAGCTGCTGTACAACATAGTGCACAGAGTCGCCAATACTGTGCTGTGTACTTAAGCGGTACATCTCATGTGAAGTGCTCTTAACAAAATAAATTTAGTTAATTGATTAAAACTTTTTAATTTAAAGACACCAGATTGTATGGCGACGGAAGGAGAACTGACTCTGGGTGGCGAACACAATGTGATATATAGATGCTGTATTACAGAATTGTACACCTGAAACCTATGTAATTTTATTAACCATTGTCAGCCCAATAAATTTTAATTAAAAAAGTAAAGACACTAGAACATGGAAAAAGCCACTGGACTGGAAGAAAACATTCATAGTACATATATCTGACCAAAAAAAGTCCAGAATATTTATGTAAAAAAAACGCATAACCCAATAAGATGGCTAACAACCCACTTTTTTTAAGGGGAAAATTTTTGAACCAACTTCACAAGAAAAGCTAAAATAATAGCCTATAAGCATAGAAAAAAATGTTCCTTGTTTGTTATTAAGGAAATGCAAATTAAACCACAATGAGATACCTTATACCTAGAACGGCTAAAATTAAGACATCTGAAAAGATCACATGGTCACAGGGATATAAAGCAAAAATGGAATGTTGATTCATTACTAATGGTAATGTAAAATGCTACCTGCACCTACCTTATGACCCAGTAGTTCCACTCCAAATATTTAACTTAAGAGAAATGAGAACCTATGTCCACAAAAGATTTGTATGCAAGTGTTCATAGCGGGTTATTCATAGTAGCCCCTAACTGGAAACAACCGAAATGTCCATCAGTAGTAGGTGAAAGGATAAACATACTGTGATATAGTCACACAATTCAGTAAAAATCGATAAACTACTCAGGTCTACAACAGCTTGAATGTATCTCAGGATATTATGTTGAATGAAAAAAGCCAGACACAAAACGGTGCAGACTGTATGATTCCATATATATAAAATTCTGAAATAGGTAAGCCTAAATTTTAGTGACATTAGGCTTATCAGTGGCTGTGTGGGGCCAGGGATGAGATGAAAAAGATACTGACTGCAAAAGGGCATGAGAAACCTTTTGTTGTGATAGAAATGTTCCATAAATTGGTTGGGATTGTGATTATACTGGTATAAACATTTATCAAAATGTGTACACACTGAACTGTACACTTAAAATGGGTGTATTTTATTGTATGTAAAATATATCTTAATATATTTATTTTTTAACTTCAAAAAGATTTTAAAATAATGCTAAAATTGGATCTTCAAACAAAATCTAATTCCTATATAATTAATAATAGGCATAACAAAGAATAATTCATTTACTTACTTTTGAATCAGTAACTATATATACTTAGTGAGAGATAACCTTGGGACAAGAAACACTGTGAAGAAATACTGACCTTTACTTAGATTTGTTTTTGATAGAGGTTGCATTATAGTATTTCAAATAGAGCTAACGAGTAAATATATTGATGTAGTTGTGAACTAGGATTCCAGCCTTAGGAAAAGGGAGATACACTGTGAAATGGAGGAAGATGAGGAATACAATATTGGATTTGAATTAGAGTTCTCAGATCGAACTAATGTTTTCAAAAAGACGTATTTTCCTAGCTTTGTCCACCAAAAGAAAGGGCCTAGAAGCAATGACACACTAGGCATAGAACACATCTTACACCCAGATCTTGGTTTCTAAATGCCATTAACCACTAAAAGGGGCCTAGTAGAAATGGTTGATTTCAGGTCTGGTACAGGGAAAATAACAAGGTGAGCCTGAAACATCATGTGCCAGAAGGTAAGGATGTATTTGAGCACCAAGGAGGACATGTCAAAAGGAGACAGGACTGAAAAGGCAAATTGAGCATCAAGTCTATAGTGATACAAGTTTTAAAAGTATAATATATGGGTGTGATCGAAAAATATGGTGAATGTTTAAATAAAAAAAATTATTACAGTAAAAGACACATTACCATTAATCCCCCTGAGAATACTCCCCCTTACTTCTCACACATTTATCCCATCATTCTTACCACTTTCTGAAGCAGTTCTGGAAGTCCTCTTTTCATAAATGTCTCTAGTTGCACTGTCATGGCTGCCTTGATGTCCTGAATCAATTCAAAGCATTTACCTTTCATGGTCATTTTGACTTAGGGGAAGAGCCAGAAGTCACACGGTGCCAGATTCAGTGAATAAGGTGGATGAGAATACACCGTAATGTTTTTATTTGACAGAAATTGCCCTACTAGAAGCGATGTGTGACACGAAGTGTTGTCATGATGGAGGATGAAGTAAAGACACTCAGAAAAGAGGACTTCCAGAACTGCTTCAGAAAGTGGCAAGAGCGATGGGATAAGTGTGTTTGGAGGGGGAGTATTTTGAGGGGGATTAATGGCAATGTGTCTTTTATTGTAATATTTTTTTTAATTTAAACATCCACCATATTTTTTTATCGCACCTCGTATATACATTTCTGAAAAATATATTAAAATATATAAGTATATATTATATACACGAGAGAAAATGGAAAAAAAGAAAAGCTTATTTTATAGAAGAAGGCTAAGTTAAATATTGAAATAATGATGTAATTAGAAACCTATTTCCAATCTCCAGTGCAGTAATTGAATTAAAGATCATGAGTGATAATGTCTAAAACCATTGGCTGTTGGGAACAAGATATTTACTGTCTTACTAAAGTAATACCTCAAAATTGCATACTGGTTTCAAAGGAGAAAAAATAACTACATGGAGAGATCTGACAGAGTACTTTAACCACTTCAAGTACACCAATAATGAGACAAATGGACATTGTGTGAGTCCTCACTCACGTGATGCGATAAGAAGTACAGAACATTGCTATATACTTCTCATGAGTAGCAATCAGACAGATCCAGATTTGGGATAGCCTACAATTCAAGAAGTCTGTGTCATGAAATCAAGACAAAAGGGATCTGGGATTAAGGCCAGGGTGAGGACACTGTTCTAAATTTAAAAAGACATAACCAAATGCAATTCTTGCATTTGACTGGACCCTACCTACACTGAAAGCTTAAAAATCCCAAACATTTTGGTGATAATCAGGGAAAATTGGAATATGACCTTCGTATTACATGCTATTATTGACTTAATGTTAAAGTTCTTCAAGTCTAATAAAGATATTTTGTTATCTGGGAGAATGTCCTATTCCTAGGAAATAACAACTAAAGTATTTAAGGATGCAGTATCATGGTGTCTGCAAGTTATTTTCAAGTGGCTTGGTAAAAAAGAAAAGTGTATATGTGTGTGTATAGAGACAGATAAAACAAATGTAACAAAATGTTAACAATTCTTAAATCTTTTTTATATTAAAAGTTTATTGGGATGACAATGGTTAGTAAAATTACATAGGTTTCAGGTGTACAATTCTGTCATACATCATCTATATTATCACATTGTGTGTTCACTACCCAGAGTCAGTTCTTCCATTACCATATATTTGATCCCTTTTACCCCTCATGTACCACCCCCCAACAAGTGTTAAATCTTAAGTGACAGGTTTATGGGTTATTCATTATATTATTTCAGTTTTTTTCTCTGGGTTTAAAATATTCAAAATAGAAATCAAGGGAAGAAAACACCTGATTCTGAATGACTCTCAATGTACAAGCTTGAAATTTTCTAGGTGAGTTTTTAGGAAATAGTATTAATCAATTTATTTGAATTATCTGATATTCCATAGAATGTTAGAAATTAGATGGACCTTAGAGATTATTTGTCTAGTCAAATTCATCTAGATGAGGAAATTAGTCCAACAGTAATTGAGTCACTTACAGAAATCACACTGTAAGCCAGTAGTAGAGCATGGACAATGAATGCAACTCTCCTGTTTTCCAGGATATTGCTCTTCTCATTGTATCATGTTTTACCTCTCCCAGTAAAAGGACTTGGTAGGAGGTAAAAGTTGAATTAAGGAAAATACTATATCATTTTTCTTCCTAGTATATGTTCAATATATTTTCCCTATTCTGACGGTATTATCAGACTGTGTTTGATCTCTTGGTCTATAGGTCAGGAATTGAGTCAAAGACTTCTGCTACTTTTTTTTTTTTTTAAGATTTTTTTATTGGGGAATTGGGGGAATGGGAACAGTGCTGGGGAATTGGGGGAAGGGAAACAGACAAGTTGCTGTCGTTTTGTTCTTCAGTCTAGTAGTGGAGGATGTTGCTTCACTGGCCCAAGTTGGCACCATCATTGTGCTCTTCTCTGCAGCCTACGCCGTCGCCGGCGACTCATGGCAGCCCAGCTCCAAGTTGAGCTGTTGTTCAGCATCTTAGCTGTAGAGGGCAGCGTCACTGGCCCTCATATGTGGGATCCAAACCGGGGCCTTCTGGCATCCCAAGCGAGTTCTCAACCATCGCGCCACTCGGCCGGCCCGACTTCTGCTACTTTTAATAATTGATCTCTAGAAACTTTTTGATCACATCGTTTGGGCTATGTGTTTTTAGTCACTTATTTTTATTATCCTCTAGTTTAAGCTATGAAGAAGGACATCCCTCACACTCGGAAACAGATCTCCTTCAGAGACAGAATTTTGCTGCCTCTCATCAGCTTCCTGGATATCCTACCACACCTCAGCCAACCGGTAAAAATTCTCTTGTGAAATATAACATGAACCTGGGTACAGTTAGTGAATAAGAAGAAAAATCATTTTTCACATGTTGGGTTGACTATGTGTGTAAAGGACATAACAATACCATGGGAGATTTTTAAATGAAAATGAGATTAAAAGCTTTGTCTTTTATTCACAGGGAATATCTGTATAATTAGTTGGGAGATCTTTTCATGCATCTTTGTAAATTTTAAATTATAACTATGCTTGGTCAAATTAATATTTGTTTGCTTTTTAAAAATAAAACAGTTTAGGGTTGTATAACTTTTGGCCTCAAATTTCAGAGATTCCTTTTAAAAACAGGATCAAGAATATAAATTTTTTTTATTGTGAAATAAACTTTTTTTTTTAAGACCTTCATTGGGGAATTGGGGGATGGGAACAGCACTGGGGAATTGGGGGAAGGGGAACAGACAAGTCGCTGTCGTCCTGTTCCTCAGTCTAGCTGTGGAGGATGCCGCCCCACCGGCCCAAGTTGGCACCATCATTGTGCTCCTCCCTGGCGAGGCAGATAGTCGCTGGCTTCTGGACAGCCGCTCACTGCGGCTGCTGGCCGCTCACGCTGGCTGCTGCCTACATACGGTAGCCCGTGGCAACCCACTGCCACAGGGGCTGCAGCCTACGCCGTCTCCGGCAACTCAGGGCAGCCCAGCCCCAGGTCAAGCCACCGTTCAGCATCTTAGCTGCAGAGGGCAGCGTCACCGGCCCTCACATGTGGGATCCAAACCAGGGCCCTCTGACATCCCAAGCCAGCTCTTAACCAACGCGCCACTCATCCGGCCCAGCATTTTTTAAAATTAGTTTCAGCTGTACAACACAATGCAATAGTTATACTTTTTACCCCTCAAAGTGACAGCCCCCCCATCTGCCACCCCACTCCCCCCCCATATCATACATATCTATTACAGTTCCCTTGACTCCACTCCCACACTATACTCCATGCCCTGTGACTATATATATTCACTTATAGTTGACATACAATATTATACAACACCAGCTTCAGGTGTACAGTGCAGTGATCAGGAATATAATTTTATATTAATATTTTTACTTTGGGATCTATCTTATCTTCAATGTAGGTCTTTCTGGAATATTTGATACTAGTGTGAACAGTACCAGCACAAACACTAAAGAATCTTCAGTGATGAATTTTCTCTCTACTGTTGAATCTCGAACTGCTCAGACTGCTTCTTCAGGAACTACTCTCTTACCACAATTCAGGGCTCCATCCTGGCAGACAGGTGATTCTTTGTTTTCAGAATTTTTAAGTCTTGTAAAAATACACTATGTATGGCTTTGTCGTGGTAGTGTGGCATAAAGTCAAGTTAATTATTGATTTTTCCAATGAACTTTAAAACCTGGAATTTTTCACAATTTTAAGGTGAACAAAATTCAAGAAATTGTTACTACCATAGCAGAAATTCTGTTTTAGCACTCTAATAAAAACCAACAAATTGAAGAAGACAGATAATTATGAAAGATAAGCTTTAGATGTAAAGTTTGTATCTACAATTTAAGTATAGTTGACCCTTGAAAAATGGGGTGTTAAGGATGTATTGACCCCCTGTGCATTTGAAAATTCACATATAACTTTTGACTCCCCAAACTTAACTAATAGTCTACTATTGACCAGAAGCCTTATCAATAACATTAAACATTTGATTAACACATTTTATATTTTATATGTATTATGTACTATATTCTTAAAGTAAGCTAGGGAAAAGAAAACGTTAAGAAAATCATAATGAAGAGAAAATATATTTACAGTATTTATTGAAAAAAATCCTCATATAAGTGAATCTGTGCAGTTCAAACCTGTTCTCAAGGGTCAACTCTAGTTACTTGTCTACTTGAGAGGAGCAAAGATTAAATTTCTTTTACTTTTTTTCCCCATTTCAGCTTTAAATATAAAATTGTAAGATATTTAAAGTGTACATGTGGTGATTTCATGTATACATTGTGAAAGAATTCCCCATCTAGTTAATTTACGTATCTGTCACTTTACATATATGTTTTTTAAAAGATTTTATTGGGGAATTAGGAAAGGGGAACTGTGTTGGGGAATTGGGGAAGGGGAACAGCCAAATAGTTGTCCTTCAATCTTATTTATGGAGGACGCAGCTAGCTCAGCTCCAAGTCCAGTAGCCATCCGGCCGCCCAAAGGCAGCTCAGGGCAGCCCAGCTCAAGGTGCTGTGTTCAATCTTAGTTGCACGTGGGCATAGCCCACCATCCCATGCTGGAGTTGGACCGGCAACCTTGTTGTTAGGAGCATGTGCTCTCACCAGCTGAGCCATCCTGCCACCTGTTTGTTGGCAGCTCAGCTCAGGCGCAGCTCACTGGCTTATGAGGGAATCGAACCGGCGACCCTGTTGCTCAGAGCTCGCGCTCTTAACCAACTGAGCCACACGGCCGTCCCACTTTACATATTTTTTTGTATGTGTTTTTTCGGTGAAAGATTCAATTTCATTTATTTTAATGACTTCAGGCTGGGTAGGTAGTATAGGGGAAAACAATCTTGGGACTGATTTCATTATTAGAGTTAATGTAAAGTTATCCTTAATTGAACAGAATAAATCACTATTTAATAAAAATCATTACAAGTTGATATTATTTTGTGCCTGTTCATACACACTTTTAAATTTTATTTTTCTTTTTTTTTTTTTTTTTTTTTTTTTTTTTTTTT